TAGGGGAGAAATGTGGCCATTAAAAACACCTGCAGAGAAGAAATGAGACAACTTTCAATGTTAAACATATAATATTCACTGCCATAGGTATATCACAAATGAGGAGGTACTTAGACTATCGTGGCATATGGCAGTCTCCTGCCAGTTGAGGGCTAGAAGATGGCAGTACTGGACTCATGGTCAATGTGCAGAAGGTTTGTGTGCTCCTACAGAAGGTCTTTGGAGCTGGAGATGAAGGAAACAGAGCACAGTGTCAGCTATAAATACAGTAGGAAGATATTCTGAGATTTTTAAGAACTGCTGATTGTCCTATGACAATTAGGATCCCTTGACAAAGAGCTGAAAAGAATGGATCATTCTAGGAGTTGCAATTGCTGCTTCATAGCCTTATGGACCTTCTGCTGTTTCTGCCACTTGGAAGCGGAGGTAAGTGAAGCAAAGAGTATGCTAGTGGTGGAGTAAATGTGTGGAATATTCCACACCCCAGCAGATGCCACAGCCAAAGCTCTGTCATAGGCTGGCCTTGGGCATGATGGCAGGCTGTCCCAGGTACTTGTCTGAAGGAGGCGCACAGAGACACTGGGTTTGCAAAAGAGCCAGGGTCTGCAGCTCTTTACAGAACACAGGTGGGCAGCTGAGAATCAGTCTGATGCTTTTTTGCTTGCATGGCCTCAACCCATCCAGGCTGCTTCATGTCAAAACTTTCACCCTTACTTCACCCTCAGCTTCCTTCCTCTCTCCCCACCAAATAAACCTGTGGACTAGCAGTATTCAGAACTAAAATATGTGAAGACAAACAACCCTCATCCAACATGCAGAACTTACTACACCAACCACATTGCCTATTTGATGTATCCCTGGACACCCCAGGTACTTGACTACCCAATGCCTTCTATGTGTAACATCTTATCTAAAGCTGGCTGGCAGTCACTTAGGGGCTCTCTACCTCTTTTACTGATCTCTAAAGTGCCATGTACACTATGGGCAGAATTCTGTTTCACCTAGTGGATAATCGAAGGGAAGTTTGCAATAGACTCTGAGTTACCCGACTACAGTGTAGGAATGATTTCGTTACACACCCTGCCTTACCCCCGCCCTGGGTATGTAAATGCCTTCATTAGAGGAATAGGAAGATACCTCCAGAACGTGATTCTGTTCCTATAATAGAGGTACTTCTTGCATCCAGAGGGGCAATATAATTATTTCTGTACTTTAGTTGGGTGGCTTAGAATTATTTGCAAGCTGCACTTTGATTATCTGCTGGGGAAGAAACAGAATTCTTCCCTGCAAGCACTGAATAACTGGGAAATCACAGCAGTGATGTTTGGGGATGAGATCAACTATACAGCCTTATCCAATAACTCCAGTAATTCAAACCCTTGGAGGACAAAGTCAGACATGCCAGCAATATACTTGGGAACATCAAAGCAAAAGCAGAGACTCAGTTACACTGAAAGCTCCAGTGAGGACCATTATAGGTAGTTGATCCCAGGCTAAATAAAGCAAAGGATCATGCATCTCTGTGCAGTGCAGTCTCAATCCCCAAAGCAGACTGGAAACCAGACTGGAACTTACCTGGGAATGGCTCTGTTGTCTGAATGCCAGAGGAACTGGAAAGCCTTCGTCCTACAACAGATTTTCCCTACTGCAGGTGGGGATGAGGAATGAGTGCACCAGTGCTGTGATGACTTCTTGAGAAGGAATAGGCCCAGTCACAGATGGGATAGTCCAAGGCCTTAGATTAAATATCAAAACAAGTCTCCCACCTACATATTCCCTTCCATCATGATTTCCTGTCAGTCCTCTCGGTGATTTTTATTGATCAGCTTGTTTAATTACCTCTTCATCATTATTTATAATTATGTCTAGAGTGTGCTGTTTAAATTGTAAACTCCCTGGACCAGAGACTTTGTTGCTGCATACAGCAGCACCATAGAGCCCCTATCATGGAATTTCTGGAAGCAGTACTAATTAAATATATGATTACTAATGAATTAATGATAATGCTACTGATAAGAACTGCTTTCATAAACATAAAAGGCACCAGTCCTCCCCTGAGGAACCTGTAATCCAGTTTTAAGCAACAACTAGCCAGCTATGGAAAAAAGAAGGGGAGGTGGATACAAAAGGAGGGTGAGGATTACTATAATAAGAATACATGCTTATGCACATTCATCTGTACATGCGTGTCTCCCGCTGGCTTTTATTGATGTTTGTCTCCAGATTCCTCCTCTCTCATTTGTTGCTTCCTTTCAGCAGCATGGGAAGGGCAGCGTGGCTTAGAGTTTCCTAATGGGAGCAATGGGACCCATAAGAAAGGTTTGAATGGGAAATATGCTGGAGGTCATGCTAAGTCTGGGGGGAAGAAGGAAGGGGAAGAGGGGAATGGAGGAAGGCGAAAAGGCAGGTGTGGGAGAAGGTCATAATAAGGAGGAAGGCTATTGTCCTTATGTAACACACGGGATCAGGACTGCAGGCTGTGGGCAGCAACATCTAAGCTTAGGAAGGCAAGTGTAGGAGCTGAACATTATCCAGTCCCCAAGAGGGAGCTACCAAAGGTTAGAAGGTGGAGGTTGTCAAAAGCTGTGGTGGTGTGGTCAGGAGAAAGACAGGACAGAAGATCATTGCAGTAGCACCTTGGGCAGAAAAACCCCTTAATTTTTATTTTTTTTTAATGTTCTGTAAACAGCAGAATGACCCTTGTGCCTGTTTCATACTCCTGTGTCTCCTAATGGGTGAGCTGGTTGAGAAAGGTGGTGAGCAGATAATGGAAGCAGGTAATAACTGGCCAATAGTCGGTTTGGGATATCTCTGCCACTATATTCTTCTCTGGGCACCAATGTGCTTCAGAAAGTGCTGCCTGGTACAGCTCTCTCACATACCTTCCTCTTATTCACTGAGATTCCCAATTCTTCATTTTTCTACCTTCTTTGCCAGTTCCTCTTCCAAGAGCCAAAGGGTCATCCCTTCTTTCCACTTCAGGACATTCTACCTTTGGATTTATTAGGAGCTCTAAGGGGATCTTTTTCATGCCCTATCTGACTGTAGGGAGAGAAGTTCATTTGATTTCTGCTCCTTGCTGAGGAAGGAGAGGAAGCGCAAGGGTAAACTGGTGGGTTACCCAGGCTGCACAATACTTACTGTTCATATATCCTTCTCTCCCTGTTAGCCTTTAAATCCTGAATAACTCAGCATGCCATAAAGGAGAGAGATGCATGGAGGGACCAGTGCTGGAAGAGTCATCCAGGTACGCCCTGTTGTTATAGGAATGGACAAAATAACCTCAGTAAAAACAACCTCCTCAGGCTCACCAGCTGTGTCAGGGTCTCTGTTAAACCCAGGCCTGGGGGATTTTAATGCTTGTTCCCATCTCCTCGGCCAGCAGCCTGACCCCCCACTACAGATTTGAGACTTGCCCTGATTTTTCTCCTACCCGCTGGAAAGCAAAGCTTCAGTAATGCTCATCAATAACAGCCCTGGTTTTATGCAGGGGTGACAAGTGCAGACAGTGAGCTGGAGGGAATGTAGAAAACAGGCATTATTCTTCACGTAGACCACATCAAAGCCAAGCCCCAAGTGAAGGAGGGGAAGAGAGAGAAGTTGTCGTCCTGCACTGAGGCAGGGTGGGGAGAGTAGTGCTTGTTTTTGCTAGTGTTTGGCAGGAGATATTTGGCCTTTGGCTTGTAGCGCAGCAGTGAAGCTCACCATGACCCAGACAATCTGGGCTGCCAGATTCGGGGGATCCTCAGAGTTCTGTCAGGCATATACAAAATGGGATCTTTTGGGAGGAAATGAAGTGCTCCATTCCCATCAGATCAGTATTAACCCCTTGAAGTTTGAAGGGGGCACAGGAACTCCTCCAAGTTTATCCTTCCATTTGGAAACAGAATCCAAAACCTCAACAGACCCACCTGGCCCCTTACATGAGAGAAAAAAAAAGCTTATCTATTCCTGCAGAAAGCAAAAACAGCTTGGACACAGCTAATAAATAAATCAGGTTTAATCATGAACCATATACATATTTACAGAGGGTGAAAGACATAGGAATACAGGGAGTTACCATGGCACCAAGAGTCCAACAACTGTGTATTTTACCGTAGTACAGTACAAAACAGGGATGGGATGAGCAGGTAAAGGTGGGACTTTGGCTCTCAGAAGCTATTTCTAGGAAATGCTGATCATTCTTTGTCACCTGGCAGGTTATAAAATGTAGTCTGGTTGGAGCTGTGAGCTAGCTCAGCAAGACAGGATGGGGAAGGTTAGACCATACGAGGGATGGTATGAGGTATATAGAACACACTCATGGGAAGAATTTGTGCTCTGTAGCTACTTACAGGTTTAGGACTACATTCTTCCCACTGTTGTGTACACACAGTTCCCATTTATGCCAATGGAAGTGGCACGCATGTGTCTCAGGGAATGAATATATTTGGCTACTTGAGTGCACTCATGGTCCCAGCACAACAAGCAAGAGATGCTGAAGCAGAAAGGGCAGGGAGTCAGCTAAAGGACAGGGGCATGAAAGGAAGAGAAAAGAATGATTCCACCCTAAGTTAATCACAGCAGATGAAATGCATTCCTGGACACGAGAGCCAGCACAACATGTATGCTCTCGAGGACGTAAGGGGTGCATGTGCATATTAATGTGATGTAATAAACTTCGGTGCTTATTGCACTGGAGTTTATTGCTCCTAGGCACTGCATTTACACGTGTGTCTCGGACTGTCGCATGTTGAGCCAGGTCAGAGCAGCCCCAGCTAATAGGAGGCCTTGTGGGGCCAGCCTGGGGCTGTTCCCCGAGCTTAACATGCTATAGAGAGGCTGGCTGGGGCACAAGGGTGCTCGATTGCAGGGCTAGTTGGCAGGCAGCCCCTGCAATGAAGTAACCTTGTGCTCCAGCCAGCCAGGGCAGTGTCCACATGTGTGCTGCTGTGGAGTAAAGAACTCCACATCAGGATAGTACTTGGATTTACAAATACTACCCTCTTGCGGAGTTAGTTATTTTACTCCAGCCTAATAGGGCTGCATGTGTAGACACACAATGTTTACTGTAGAGCTAATTAGTCTACTCCGCAGTAAACATCTCCTGTAGATGTGCCCAAGTACATGAATTCTGCATAGGCTTGTCTCTACCCTCTGCTCAGAGGCAAACACTACTGACTAAAAAGGAAAACTCTGAATTGGGGGGCTGGATGTTTTAAAAGAAGAAATAATTGAAAAGATGGGTCCAGTTAGAGTTGGTCCCAAATCAATGCCCGATATCCAATCGCTCATGAATTTTGGGGGAAGAAGGTCCAAACTCTCTCTTCAAACCACAATTTCACATCTGGTCCATCTCTATTGTGAAAGACAGATGGAAGGAACTGTTGCAGTTGTAAGTAGGGAGGACACAGCTGCTGTTTATATGAAAGTATTCAGAGTCTATGTGACAGGTCTGTGCTGTTTCAAGAAACAATAATACGTGAGGCGAGCAAAGCAGTCAGATGTGCTGGCTTTACAGTACAACAATTTCACTTTCAATTACTGTACATATTATGCAACTTTACAACTGAAAATCACTTGGCAGTTCTAGAACAGACCAGTAGATACTGCTTTAATTTGAAAAGCACAATTGCCATCTGCTTTTGCTTGGAGCAGGGGGAACAAAACAAAACTGAAGCTATAATACAAAATGATGTTTGTTTTGATGACTATTAGGAAGTAATATTGCCGCAGCAAAATCACATCCCTAGGTCTTCTAAGCTTCCCCAAACCAGAGGTCCGCTCAATGGCAAGTCAGAATCACGTATCCACATACAGAATACTCTCTCAGTCTGGGAAACCTTTGCTAATACCCTTGCTCTTGGAGCAAAGGCAGGAGATTAAATTGTAAATCTTGTTTTTGAAGAGTGCTCTGAAAAGAAAGCACACACTCATCTTTCTCTCACAGCAAAGGCTGTATGTTGGGTTGTTATTTTAAATTACAAATACCTAATAGTTTTTCTGGATGGGTAACCTATTTCCTGGGCAGGAATGAGGTTGAATCTTCTTTATGAGTCTGCGTTCTTTAGACAAGAAAAAGACAAGGGAACTTAAATTACAAAACTGGAAAAACTAGCCGTATCTCAGACATATGGTTTCTTTAACTATTTACAAGACTAGCTTGAAAGTTACTATTTACATTAGTGATGTTGTAGAGTTTCCAAGAAGAGCTGTCCTCACCTCTGTGGTACGTGTCCCCCAAGAGGTGCGTGTCCCAAGAGCCCATTCTTGAGTTTTTCAAACTTTTTTTTAAAATAAGGCACTGCAAATACATGTAGTCTTTGCCCCAAACAGTGAGTCCCCTTCACTGGATACTGCATTTTTCCCTCTCTCTGGCCTGTCCTTCCCTAAGGACTTTTGATTTGATGTATTTCAGGTCACTGTTGACACTGGGCCGGCGAGCAAATGGAGAGATCATGCCATAGGCATCCATCTCTTTGACCCGGCGCATCCTGAAGGATTTTTGCTGGAAGGCATCCCCATACTGGATGGAAATTTTCCTGTGGAGGGCAGGACTCATCTCATGAGGTAGCTTGGCCATGCTAAAGAGGACATAGAACATTTCATCCACATTAGTGTTCTTCTTGGCTGAGACTTCAAAGTAAGCACAGTTCTCATCACTGGACACAAGGACCTCCCCTTCGTCTGAGCGCACTTTCCGGTAGATCTCACTGTGGTCATTCTTGTTGCCACAGATTACCATGGGCAGATCAGCTGACTCCTTGGTCTTGTTTTTCAGGCAGGATTTGACTTCAAGGATCTGTTTCTGGAGCCTCTTGACCTCATCAAAAGATTCCCTGTTGTCCAAACTGAAGACCAAGATGAAAACATCCCCTGCAATGAAAAGAGAAAACCAGAGGCGTTGTTCTTTAGAACTCACCTTGGAGCAGTCTATTTTAAAAAAAAGTGGGTATCTTCCTCCCACCATGAGTTTTCTCTTTGCCACTGTTTTTCCTTTGATCTGATTAATTCTCTAAAACACACTCATTTCACATCACCTTCTGACTCACCTTTCCCATTGTTTACCCAGCCATATAGAGGTATTAGAAGTGCAGTATGACCTCAGTTCTATCCTGTTCTCTCTTCCTAAGGATGCATTTCACCCATTGGTGTTGCTCATTGTACCCTTTTTGTAAACAAGCCTCTGTCTTAATTTTACTGTGATATTTTTCTCTTTCCTCTTTATTTGCTATTGTGTGGTAATTTTTTAAGAGCAGAAAACTAGTAGCCCTAACCCTTTGAGCAGAACAGAAGCAGCACTTGGCCTCAGGATTTAGAGCCAATAGCCTCAGAAGGGCTTTGTAATGACCTTTCCAGAACTCAGTGCTCTGCTACCATGTTATTTGCTCAGGAAAAGTGGAAGATCAAAATAAGCAAATGCCAACGCTAAGAGATTTTTTCTTATACATATATAGGCTGACCATATGGAAATCATGGAAATCTAGGACATCATCTGGGAAATCCGGGACACTGCCCTCCCTCTCGACTCGATTAATCGAGTCTGCTGGAGTGTGGTAATTACCGTGCTCCAGCAGACTCCCACATCATGTGTATCAGTGTCCCTGTGCTGAGAAATGGTGGTGGGGGCGCTTTAACTAAAGCTCGTTCGGCGAGCTTTCATTCAAAGCGCACAGCTGCCATTTTTCAGCGTGGGGATGCTGATACACGGGATGCTCCTAACACTTTTAATTAGCACAGCACTCGGAGCTGCACTAATTAAAGCACCTCCCCACCCCAGCACGTCTATAAATGCCCATGGTCACCCTATACATATATAAAATGATGCTAACAAAACCATCCGTTAAGTAAAGTACCCTGCAACTCTCTGAAGAAAGATTTTCTGGATCCCAGCAAATACCTACATCCTTGCACCTTTGTGTTGAGAATTCAGTTTCTGCTATCCAGGAATATTAAGTATTGCCTCAGACCCATCCCATTGGATAACTGGTGGGCCACGACATCAAGCTGGTGACAGACTTTGGCTCTGTTCACACCCCCGTGTACATCCATACTCAGATTTTTAGTAGTGACAAATGCACCACAGCTCCTACTGAACTTAGCAGGGACTGTTGAAGAAGTTGTACTTTTAAAACCAGGCCTCGATTTTTCTCTGGTGTGCTTTTGCTTATTTTGGGTGATCACAGAATAAGGAGAAATCGTAAAAGTGGGTACAACTTTAGAGAGTTCTTTTTTGTTAATTGGAATTTCTAATGGTGGAAAATCAAGGAATCTTTTTAAACCCCTTTACAAAAAATCCTTCAATGTATACTTTTTACTTGCTTTTCATTGCTTGTGGCTACAGAAATATATTTGGGGAGAGTCAGGAAAGAAAGTAGGCTTAGAAACTCAAATTTTGGAACTTGTCTGAGTTGCTTCCTGTGCAGTTCATACCTTTCCCGGTGATATCTTGAGTGTTCCAGCTAGGAAAAGCCATTGGGGAAAAGGCATATCTTGGACCTTTAACATTAGGTCCCTCCAATTATCCAGCATTCCCAATAGATAGTTCTCATTTTTTTTTCATTTAGCATCTAGACTAGCGGACTCTTCAGAAAGAGTTGTGTCCAGGATACTATTTTCAAATAGAGATAAGCAGCTGGGATCCTTGACCCACCACTTAACAGTAGGATACTTTCTTTACTCTGCTACGGGCAGCCCCTGTCTCACCTGTCAGTATGGACAGCCTCCTCATTGCAGGGAAAGGGTGATTCCCAGATGTGTCCAGGATGTCCAGCTGGTACATGTCTCCCCGGATGTTGTAAACCTTGCGATGAAAATCCTCAATGGTGGGAGTGTACTGGTCCTCAAACCGGCCAGTGAGAAAGCGTGAGACAATGGAGCTCTTCCCCACCCTGGAGGCTCCCAGCACAACCATGCGGTAGGAGTTCTTGGCTGGCACATTGAGGGTGCAATTCCCACTGGACACAGTCTTCATCATTGCTTGGTGCTGGAACAGACAAAACAGAAGCAGAAGGGGTTAGGATAAATATGAGGAAAAATCTCATGCACTTTAAATGGCTCTTTGCTGTAAGAAAGTCTGGTTCTTCTTAGCAGATCAGTTGTCAGTAAGGAAATTATAGAAGTGGGAATAGCCTTCCATAAATTTTTCTTAAACCTCATCAAAATGAAGACATTTACATTTGAAAATAAAGTCTTAAATTCCAATTTGTCATTTTGTTTAAACATGAAGGACTAGCTTTATCAGCTTGGCTTTAGCCAGGACTCCTCTTTTATTTTTTTTTGGTCATATAACAGTCACCAGATTTTTGAAAAGAGAGGAGCTCTTATTTAGATATCTAAATGAAGTATTCAGGTTTCCAGCAGTGTTCAAAAGCCCCACAGCTCCCACTTGATCTGGCCACATAGTTTAGGTACTTAAACAGGGTGTGCTCACAATAATCCCTTTCTGAGATCAGAGACTAGAGTACAACGCTCAGATTTTGAAAACCTTGGACGTTCAGCCTTTAAAAATCTGGCCCCAAGCGTCCTAAAATGTTATCAAAGAGAATCAGACAAAACTGACCCAGAAGCAGCCATGCTCTAGGTTATAGATACCAAATGATCTTTTTCTAATTGTGGAAGTAGATTATTGCCCACCATTTGTAACCTTCAATGTTGTGGATTCCTACCACCAAACCATCACCACTGCATCATTTGTAGTAAGATGGTCGGTGGACAAAACAGCAAAAAGCCTAGTTTTATGTTTCATGGTTGCATCACTCTTTACATATCCATGGACATCTGAGTTCAGGCAATCCTTGATTGAACTGAGCAACTGAAGAGAGGCAAGGGCAGGGAGGGAGGGAGAGGTTAGCATTCTTTTCTAACCAAACACAAGATTTCCAGACAATGACCACTCAAGTGAGTCTAGAGACCCTGGAGATTACACACAGGCAGAACATAAAGACGCAGGAAACTCTGAGAGAAAAATCAGGGTTCCACAGACATTTTTGATCTGTCAGGATCAAACACTCTGCAGCCAGAAAAGAAAAATACAGGCCCGCTGTGCAAAACTAGTTGTCGTAGTGGCAGAGACGCACTCAGATAGGGTTTGTTTTGGTTCTACAAATTTACAAAGGCAAAACCGAGTCCCCGCTGTGCTGTTTGTTTAATTTAATACTGTTTATTGGATGGCGGGTTTTAAATATTTATATAAAATGAGCGATAATGTTTGGATTTACATCTGGATTCTGCCCTTTGATTTGTGTGATTTTTTTTTCCTCTCCCGCCTTTATGTAATGGATATTATCTCAAGGGAAAACAATGCAAATCTTCTACTTTGTTTTGTGTTGTGAAGAACCAAGGCAGAAGCAGAGAAATAGCCAGTGCTAAATAAAGAAACCTCTAAGAAATCTAAGCCACCATCCTTAACCAGCTTTGTGCTGTAGCCAAAGGCGACAACAGAACTTTCCTGTTTATTATTACTATTATTTACTGATCATTGACAGCATGTTCAGCCCTATGTGAAGTGCTGAAAAAAAATGTAGCGCTTGCCCCAAAGGAGTTCACCATCTAAATTAAATGTGGAGGGGATGACAGTCTAAATTACTCAGGCTGGACACTCGGAACATGATGTTGTACAAATATAGCAGGGGCCTGATCCAGTCTATGAATGTCTGCTAGGGCAGATGGGCAGGACAGGGCCTGCCGTTTGGACTGGATTCTCAGGATGTAATTTGGAGCAGGTTGTACCTTCAGAGCACATCAGTGCTGAGCCACTGATTTTCCTCAGTAACACCTATGCCCAATCACGTTCACTGGCCCTCTGAACTCTCCCTTGTGCACAGATTGGCAAGCTCTAGGGTCTGTATGCCAGGTGGAGAGATGGAGAGACTAAGGAAGAAATTTTATTCCCCCTTCATTCTTTGTGCTGTGCTTATTAGGTAAAAAGCAAGGGAGTTGATTTTTCCAGGTGAGCTATATAGAAAACATTGAGTTTATGCTACAGAAAGGATCTGATGCTCTAAGAAATGCCAAATTCTCGACTCTTTAAAGTGGCATAGCTGTGATGATTTGAATGGAGCCATGCTGATTTACACCCAGTGAGGATTTGGCCCAATATCTCATCATAGTGGCAAGCGAGCAGTTGGAGTGCATGCTGCAGAAGACAGCTGTGTTTTTTTAAATAAGAGAATCTCAAGGGGTATTTTTATGGTACCCAGCAGAGGAGGCCTGATCATCAGTCTGCCTCTGGAAGACAACTTAATGCAAGTGATAATATTTTCTGAGAGGCAACCAAGTGCACTGACAATGAATCAAAAATATTCTGCCCATCATGAAAACAGGCAGGTGAATGTCTCATCTTAACTGGTAGGAGGGTCGTGCTTCACAACAATACAGTCACCCGACGATGCGCATGCATATGAATCACCTCTTCTGTCTTGGAGCACGTGGAGGGAATGGTCTTTTTAGCAAGTACCTTCGAAGTGGCTGAAGTGTGTGATCACCCAAATATAACCAACCGAATCGTGAAAAAAACTTAGGCTGCTGACCAGGGATGATCCACCATGAGGGGATATGGGGAAAGAATAGCGGTGAGACAGACACTCCTAAGCTGATTTTCATAGGAAATACGTAGGGCCAGACTTCCAAATGAACCCTGCAGGTTGTATGCATTTTGGGTACTAAACATTTGAAAAATCTGGCCCTGATTGGGATGCTGAACACTGGAAATATGAACCCTTCTGGAGAGTTAAGAACGGACTTCTGTTCTTCAAGATGAACTAAAGGCCAAAAGCAAACAAGTGACCTAGTTGAAAGAGGATTGTTTAGGTTTGGATCCAGTTGGGGAAAAAAAAACACATCAGTTTTGTCTTTGATGCACTGGTTTTTAATACAGCTCTGTTTGGGAAGTGTCACTTTATTGATAACCCAGAGACTAAACTACCAGGGTCTCTGCCCTGGGTGGCAGTAGTGACATGTGTGGCAATGGTAGCAGCTTCTGTTGTTGCATCTCCTCTAAGTGGATGCCTAGGGCTGGTACTGGATAACCCATTCCTATCAGCTTTCCCTCCTGAAATCGGACAGCTCAGCTTTCTTCACTGAAATCAATCTATTATGTGTCCGGCTCACTCAGGGGGATTTCTGCTGCAGCTGTATGCAGTATACGTTTTAGGATGAATATGAAGGAAAAATTCCTAGCTGTCAAGGCTAATAATACACAGAGCACTGTGTCTTGGGAACCAGGGAAAACCCTATTAGCTTAGGTCAGTTAATAAACTAGATAAAGCATGGTAGAGTATTTTACTGGGAAATGCCTCATATACTATCCGCTTTTTATTTCTATCCAAACACGCAGGAGGAGCTCCATTTCCCCCCCCTTCCCTGGGCATGAAAGATAGAATAAATTAACAACAACAATACATCCTTTGCATTTCAATAATACTGAAGTTTTCAAAGCTTTTAAATAAATTCCTCCTTCAGAACGAGAGGAAAGTATTACCTTCATCCCTCATTTATGGATGGGGAGACAAAGGCACAGAGAGGTTCAAGGGCTTCTCCAAGGTCAAACAAATCAGGGCTGGGTACAAGACCTGATCTCCTGACTCTCTCACCCCCCATCCTAACTCTAATCCCTAGACCACGGTGCCTCCCCTCCTGAGCAAGACAAAACTGCATTGCATGTGCACACAGAGAGGTACATCTCATTCATAAGGCTTTGCCTGAGGCATGGCTGTGCCCTTAGGGTCAGAGGAAGAGGTAGCTGCAGGCAGATCTTCCCTAACAGAGTCAGATTTTATTAATTTAAACTGCAATCTTTTGGTTCCCTTGTGGTTACTCATTGAAGAGCCTCCCGCGCTTTCCTGCTTGCATTTTGTCTGGGGCACAGTAGAGTCTTTCAGCCCTTTGATGCCTGTAACCACCATTTCTCTAATTACCTCCATTGTAAGTCTGACTTGTAGGGTGCTGCAGTACCAGGAGTACGCATTTGCCCTTGCAGGCTCCCTCTTTGCACCGCCACAGTAAAGCAAACCATTTTCCTCTCCCACCCTTAGAAAGAGGCCAAATTCAAGCCCCCTGGGGATGCAGAGGAGTCCAACATTGGGAAAGATTAAAGGCAGGAAAGGGGAAATAGAAAGGGACCACACGGGCATGGACTAAATAAAATAAAATCAATCAGAAGGGAATGAGAGGAACAAACAAACAACCACCAGCTGGTTTTAATCTACATCTTCCCTTCAAGTTTATTAAAGGTTTAAGAATAGATTAGTTCCCAGCTGTACCTTTAACTCTGTGGACAGACTTAGGGATAACAAACCACTATATATGACTTGCACTTCCATAGGCCTTTCCAGCCCAGGGTTCAAACTGTTTGGCAAAGGTAGATAATTAATATTACCCCCCCTTACACAGAGGAGGAAACTGAGGCGAGCGGTGATTAAAGGACTCTCCTGAGATCTAAGAGTGAGCCAGTGACAGGGTGAGGATGAAATACCAGGTCTCCTGACTCTCACCACCCTGCCCTAATATTGAGCTAGGCTACTTTTTGCAAACTGAAGCCAGGAAGT